GTATTGGATTTTCCATCCATTTTGTTTTAACCAAGCACTGTCTTGGAAAACTGTAAGCCTTTAGGGCATTTCTTTTGCTTGAAGTTCATTTTATCATATAACATATGCTATGGATTCAAGAATAGACTTTTGAATGTATATCCGCATATGTTACTCTTTTGTAAACTTAATGGAATATGATTACCTTCTTATTGTTGTCATTTATTAATATTGGAGTTAGGTTATTGTATTTATTTTAGGGCGTTACAATCACTGAACCAGGCAAGAACATCTGAAAGAGAACATGAAAGAAGAAGAACATAGCAACTGTGCAAATTCATTGAAGATAATCAATCTTCTTGAACAAGAATTGCCAAACGAATCTCGATCTGGGTCTTCGACCAAATGGGTTTCTCTCATTCCTACTCGTTGATGATGAAGAAGAGCGACACAGAGTTTGATCTGTCTTCAACGAAAAGCCACTTTCAAGAGAATCTATTTACAGTCCTATTAACAAAAATTCATAGAAATTGACAAAACATGTTTGTATATATATGTGTGTGGAGAGCAATATAGAAATACAGAGATGGAAATCAAGATTGAAAGGAGAGAGAAAGAGAAAAATATTCAGTGTGTTTGGTTTGAGTTTTTTGGATTAAGTTTTTTGAAAATTGAGTTTTTTGGTTTTCGTATTTTTTTTGTTTTTAGTGAATATTTTTAAAATTTTAAGTAATTTTTTTTACTTTTTAGACATACCTAATATACATATACCTAAAAAGTAAAAAAATTGTGAAAAAAATATTTTAAAAAATTAATAAATACAAAAAATGTACTGCATTCTTGTATTTTTTTTTGTATTTTTGGTATTTAGTGAATTTTTAAAAGATTTATTTCACAAATTTTTTAATTTTTAGGTATATTTATGTTAGATATGTCTAAAAAGTAAAAAAAAAAAAAAAAAATTTTAAAAATATTCACTAAAAACAAAAAAAAAAAAATTCAGTCAAATAAAAATAAATACGAAAAATAAGAAAGTAAAATTTTCTGAAAACAGTTTTTGGAAAACTCTAACCAAGCATAATGATTGTTTTTTGCTGTTTTGAGAAATGGGTTTTAGGCCTCGTTTGGGAACAGGTTAATTTAGTAACTTTTTGGCTATTTGGCTAAAAAGGTAGGTAAAAAAAACTTTGTATTTGGGATGACTTTTTGGCTAATTACGAAAAGATGTGCATAAAAGTAAGAGAGAAATAGAATGTTTGACTTTTTGGTATGGGTTGTTGACTTTTTGGCTAATTTAGTAACTTTTTGGCTAATTGGCTAAAATAGGCTCTTTGCCAAACGAGCCTTAGTTTTACAGAACAAAGGTACACTATTTTTCATTTTTGGGGATTGAACATATTCTTTTGTTTTTGATGCTTTTTGTTTTAATTGAACAATTCCTAGAACAGAGCAATGGTGTGAACAGTCAACAGACTGGTGAATTTTTTTTTTTTTTTCATTTGCTCTTGTCGTGACCAGTCAATCGTCTCCCAAACACATGTTTTTGATACAGTACAAATTCACGCGTTGAAGTGACTGATATCATATAGAAGAATTTATACTTTTTTATTCATATTTAATAAAATATTTGTAAACCTTTGAAAATTTCCATCGGACCCATCATGTTAAAGGCGTGGTTTTGCTGCTGTCTCTGAAATCGTGCAGTCACGTGTCAGTTATGATTTATTTCCACTCCAACTCATCAACATGAATGGCTAGCCACCTAGTTTAAATGTTTCAATAAACAGAGAAAAGAGACGAATAAATCTTTTTATTTTTTCTCAATCTCTCTCCCCGTTTTTCTCTCTCCTTTTGTCCACACTCGTTCTCTTTCCAGCACTTACCCCAGATCCAACCAAAAGATAAAAATAGGGAGTGGGTGCCTGCTGTGTGGTGTTGTGCAGCCTATACGATTTATTTCGGGGATCATTTTGATAATCACGAATCGGTTCATATTTTAGAGGTATGTTAGTTAGAAACATCCCTGTAAATAATAGGTTAATCGGGATATCGTTAACTCTTTCATCCACTCACATTTGTATTCATTTAATACTTATAAATCAAGCAAATCATTTATTTTTTGAAGATACAAATGTGAAGTGGATAAATAATTAACGATTATCCGATTAACTTAAGTTTTACAGATATATTTTAACTTGATGTACTCTAAAATGTTAAACGGTTCGGATTATAAAACAGAATCTCAATAATGTCATAAGACAGCAATAACAGTGATCTTTTTTTACAACGTTTCGTATAAAAATTTAAAAGCAACCATTGAAATGATCATAGCACACGCATGGTTCTATAAAATTTTCAACTTTTAAGCATTTAATTTTACAGAGCGTTGCATATGCAGGCCAGCATGGGTCATTGAAAATTTTGACAAGTCCATTTCAAGAAACAAAGAAGTACGAAAAATCTATGCAATCTACCAAAAACCCCAAGTAGAAAAGCTTCTGGTCTCTGAGCCTCTTGCCAATACCAAACTAAGAACACCCATAACAATTCTTCAGGTAGCTCATGTCCTCTGCGTGACAACGATGTCAACGCCGCTGGAAAAAAGAATAAACTAATCCCTTAAATAAGTCCTTATCCGCATAGCTCCACCTTAGTGATCTTGAGTTTTGCTTATTCATCATTCGAATTTCTTGCAAGAAGAGCATAGAGTAGAGTTTTCGGTTGCCATTGCATGCACAGTCAGTGAAAACTGAAGCAAAAATTGTTTTCAATATATATGTATAGATGTATAATCAGAAAATATTGTTGGTAAAAAAGGTTTAATTGTCGTTTTCTTTCCTTCTATTCTAATGAAACAATTGATTAGGTGGCGAGCAGACATGTGGGGGGGGTTGAGCTATGAGACGAGACAAATCACTCAAACCAGACTGCACATTAGGAGACAGAAGAAAACCAGAGCCCATGTAAAAAGGTAAGACTTCATTGATTGTTGACAAGCAGTGAAACTCGTGTCAAATAATCAGCCTCTCTCTCTCTCTCTCTCTAATGAAAGAACTTTCATTTATGTAATTGTTCTTTCATGATTAAATGTTAGCACTCAAAGGCAGTCACTCAATAATATCTACATTGTAAAAACCTCGTAAGATTATACACGCAAGCAGTCACTCAATCTAAAAATGCACAATCAAGGCAATGCATAGCCGCCACTAAACGTCAGCTCGGGCCACACAGTGTATTTTCCATCAAAGGCCTAGACTGGCAACCTAGAATGTTACAACAGTAAATAATAACCTTTCTTTGGGGCAAAGGCTTCTAAATGAGTCCTAATCAATTTTTGCAACAAATAAGAAACAAAGTGACGACACGGTTCCTTCTTCTTTGGTTCAAGAAGCAGGAGGGTCAAACATCAATACCGCATTTGAGCCGCGGTGCCTGACAATAATGTCTGCATTGCAGATTCTAGAGTACTTTGAGACAATCAAGATCCCTAAACTTTTCAGTTGCAATTGTAGTAGTGTCAAAGTCGTGATCTATTCCAACTTTCTGTAACTGCGGGTTCTTTTTGAACCCTTTGTCTCCACTCCTGAAGAACCACTCAACATAATATACAGCTAGTGTTAAACATAACAATAGGCAACACGTTAAAGACTTCAACTTTTTCGAACAGATAAGCTATTGATAAAATCAGACTTTTCTTTTTCACTAATTTTCCAAGGTTGCCCCTTAGAAGGGGAGCTTAGAGCTCTTCTGCGCCTATACTCGCAGTTTGAAACATTGCAATACTAAAAATAGATTAAAGTCACATAAACCAAGCTTTTATACCATAGGAGTTACTAGGCTTAAAGCCCAGCTTTCATAGACACATCTACAGTTGAACAACATCGTCAAATATGATAATGCAACCACCAATGTATATCACAATTCAAACACATAAAATAATACCTCTGGGATTATGATTAGAGATACTAACATTTAGAT